TTTTCTGCCTACCTAAACGAATTATGGTTTCTGGAATCTGGTATCTGGAATTGTAGGGAGGGTAGCTTAAAAAGCTAGAGCACTTAGGCCCCATTGGGTCCCTTGTACTTCTTCCCATTAGGAGATCAATCCACCTGAGCCATTACAACCTACCTATTAAAACCTATTAAACCATATTAAACCTATTAAAAAGATAAAGGTGGTGACGTTGCTCAGAGGGATCTCTCTAATATAGGCCATAGAAGGCCAACGTTCTCTCAATACCGACTCTCTTGTTGACGAGACGGCACGGCAGTGCATTCACCTAGCACATGTAGTATTGTCTCGTCTTCCTTTTCACGACCCTACTCTCTACAAAGAGGTGGTTTACACTTCCTCATCTTGTGAAGGTGCTTCCTTAGCCAACAGTGTCCAGTTTGAATACCTGAGACCAGGCGAAGATTTGACCTAGACATGGCCAGGTATTTATTTTAGTGTAACCTTGCTAGGGTATTCTAGGAACTACTTAGAAAATTGACAGCTATTTGTTTCATCCCATCGCCATCGTTTCATAAACTCTTTGTGGCCGTTTTCCTTCATAATTTCTATAAGTGCTGACAGCGGAAGTTCGTGTCCCTTGACCCAGCATACAAATATATTGTTGGAAACTGAGGCCACGACCAGTGCCTGGTGATATTCCCATAGTGACCTAGTCTTGTGATTACGTAAGATCAGTAACACTTGTCTGCTGCCTGTATAGATTCTGATGGTTTTACCCGCAGTGCGCCTACGGGCACGGTAGCATACACATCAATTGCCCACTGATATCGGATATGCAGGGATCTAGAATAAATTCAACCTTCTGCACTTTCCTTCCTTTTTGACCCGTCCGTGAAGACGTTGATTAATTACGTCCTCTCCGACGGTCTCGAATTATGTTGGAATCAGATAATTTATAGAACTAAATAATTGGAAGCGAGATCTTGTAAAGGTACAAATAGATAATTTTCTTGGGATGATATTGATCCATTTTCTATAAACCTTTGTAACTGATATTATTCAGGTACTTTTTTCCTTGAACTTGGATGACGAAATCAGCAGTAAATTGATACACTTTGATTTTAGCAGTTCAAAATCAAATGTGTATAATATATACAATCGGTAACACAATTGAGGTTTGCCTTCGTCTTCTTCTTCTTGTACCTGTGGTTAGTTCTATTCAAGTCCTATAGTACCGCGGCCTTATCAGGCCTATAGTGCGTTCCACTACTCAAACCTATTCGTTTTGTCTTTATTACAGAGTCCATAGGCTTCCTTGTCTACACTTTTCTCGGCTCCTTGGGTTCTAGAAAGGATTTTCCCAGAAGCGTCATTCTACTACAGGGCACTCGTCCAGGATATGCAGACAAATATCGTGACTCGAGACACATCCTCGGAATGCCGGACTGTCTTCAAGCCTTAGCTTGTATAGATGTTTCCTAAGTCCCGTTACTTTCCTGAGGCGAATTTTATTCCAACTCAGCAACTCATTCGTTCTTTTCTGTAATTTGTCCTGGCGTTGAAGACCAGGACCTCTTATCTTCTGACTCAGCCCATTTACCCAGAACCGAGGGGGATTCTGGGTTCACACTGGGTGATGTGCCACAAAAGGGCAGAGTTTTGCTTAAGTCCTATTAGTGCAACATATGATACCAAATGATATCACGTAATACTTCTTGCATTGTATAATTTATCTATTGATAAGTGTGTGTGATTAGTTTCTTTAGATGGTTTCATTTCAATTATTAAAGTAATTTCCGAGATAAAAATGAAGGCACGTAGAATATGTTTGTCTTATTTTTTATTGAAGAATCTCCCCATGAACAGTGCAACATGTTCTTTGACACACTTCTAAAGAAAACCGTGTTAAGTTAGTATACCAATATAGCTTTCCGTCATTTTTGCAATATTTTTTTTCTCAAACAACAATTTCGTACCCATGTAAATAGACCATATGTACTCTACAGGGTGTCCGGTAAGTACCTCCTAATCTCTCGGGAGTGTATAGGGGAGGTCAAAATAAAACTAGTCCTTCCTATAATTTTTTTGCCTAATGTGCCCCCTAACGGAGTTATGGGGGGTCAAAGGGGTACCTAGAAATTAACGTTTAGGGTTATAACTTTGAAACCACCCTGTATATTTTAATAAAATTTTCGTACGTTGTATTACACATGGAGCTCTACGATTTGATGCTAAAATCAACTTTTTGCTATTATCAGGTGTCCAGAAACGGACTGGCCCTATCACAATTTTTCTCAAAATTTTGACAGAAGTAATTTTATCAAACTGAAAATATTATTATTAGATACTCTGAAGGTTTTTCTTTAAAAATGGTACTCTTTATTTATTTCGAAAAAATGAACGGTTTGCGAGATAAATCGGTTTTGAAAAAAATTGGTAACAAATACAACAAC